CATGGCATGCATCCATGTCCATAACATCACAAGCAACAGAATCACTATAAATATTGCCTAGTGATAGTGGACGCAACATACTTCGGTCACCTTCATTGAGGGACCCTTCTTGATCCATCCGATGGTATAAGGCACGAGTTTTGCTTCAGTCGACAGTTTCAAGTAGTCTACCAAGGCCTTTGACACTATATTTTCACAGCTTCCATTGTCAATGATGAGGGTGCACACCTTGTTATTGACCGAACACCTAGAAAAGAAGATTTGATGTCATTGTGATGAATCTGGAGTCTTCTGGGCGCATAGGAGTTGTTGAACAACACACGACACATTGTCGTCCTTAATCTCGGCAACCTCTTCCTCATAATCTTCATCAGATGCCATGTGTCCGTCTGTTGGCCTTCTTGTTTTAATGATGTTTAACAAATAATTTACTTCTAATGTTGTTTGTCTAGTGTTTGTGTTTTCGTATTTATTCTAGGCAAACAACATGTTGGAGGATGGATGGAATAACGCTTTAACGACGATATCAAATGGAGGTTGGCGGAATTGTGGAGTGAAGCAACATACAATTCAAGTTAAAGATCAAGTTCAAGCTTCATCCGCAAAGTGTACCAAGTCGAGCTTATTGAAGATCAAGATCTAGCTTGGGTAATCTAGTTTAGATTTTATATTATGTGTGTTAGATACTCTAAGCTCAATATCATATACACACACATTTATTGGTTTCTTCGTGTATATATATATATATATATATATATATATATATATATAGTTATATATATACATAAGTTTTGGTTTCTATGCATATATATAGTTATATATATACATACATGTGTTTTGAGTTTTTATGATTATATATATGAAATTATATATTTCATATTTTCTATTGTGTTTTTGAAAACATTGCATAGAATATACAATTTTGTGAAAATATTATTTTTCTTAGTTTATGGACTTAATAACAATCATATACATCTTCTATTAAGTCTACAGAAATTATTGTGCAAAAGTTTCAAAACATGGTTTAGCCTAAATGTTAAAATTCATATGTTTTACATTTCGTGTTTTGGACTATTTTGTAAAATGATGATATATTTTTTTATTTGGAAGTCCTTTTTGAAAACCAGTCATTGTACATGTTTATTATCATGTTTACAATCATTTCCCAAAGTTTTACATTTTTTTGAATTTATTTGGATATTTTTAAACAAGGGTTTTAAAATCAGCAAATCAGTTTTAGAATATATCAGTTCTCGGTCGACCGCACCGGTCGCCGCACCTATGTTCTTCCGTCAGTGGGCAGCAGAGAGTTTGTCGGTCGACCACCGCGGTCGACCGAGAGCTCAAATTTTCCATCGGTCGACCGCACCGGTCGACCGAATAAGTCTCTGCTCGTTTTCTCAGATTGGGATCTGGATCGCTGTCGACCGTGAATTTTTTCGGTCGACCGCCGCTCAATCAGATTCTTTCCAACGGCTATTTTTGTTACCGTTGGCTGGGTTTTTCTTGTCTTTTGTTTTGGGGTTTTTTTTCTTGTCTTTTGTTTGGGGTTTTTGGCTGAGGTTTTGGGAGGCTATAAATACCCCCATTGATCTCAGTTCTAAGATAGCTAAGAAGGTTTTAAATAAGTTTTTAAACAAGGGTTTAAGTGTGGTTTTACTGGTTGTTTTAAGTTTGGGTTTTGTTTACAAAGGAGGAAGCTTCACTGCAGATTGAGGGATTCTTTCTCAATCTTCTTTATCATCTTCTTTGTGTTTTAGAGAAGTTTTCTAACTCTTTTCTCTAGCAATTTTATTATTGATTTTCATATTCTTATTGCTAGTTTGCTATTTGAGTTAGATTTGATTTTACTCATTGTTGCACATACTCACTTGAGCTTATTGTATTTGCATTCATAATATATTTACGTTGGTGAGAGTTATAACTTTGAGTGTGAGCTTTCATTGTGTTCTCATCCATAGTAGAGAACAAACATTTATTGAGCCTAATTGTGAGATTCACTTTGTAATACACTTGTACACCGAGAGGAGTGTGTGGTGAGAGTCGGAGATCGTCCCAAGAGGAGTGGCGTCGGTTGACGAGCCTAGGGAGAGGTTGTAACCGAGCACTTGAGGGAGACACGGCTAGGTCCAACACTTGTGAGGGTGTAGAGTGTGATTGTAAGAGTGTTGATTGTAAAGTTTTCGGTTAGCTAGAAAACCGAGTGTGAGGTGTAAACGTTATTCGGGTGAACGTAGAAAACTCGGTTGTGATAGTGGATTTCTCCCCGGGAGTGGGGAGCGGAGACGTAGGACGGAAGGTCCGAACTCCGTGATCATTTGATTGTGTTTGAGTGTGCTTTGGCGTTTATTTATATTTGTGCTCATTGCTCATATCGCCATTGTCTCATTATTCATATCATCCTCTATCTTGTTTCATATTGTTTACCCCTTGTATTAGTTTACATATCCTTGCATATATATCTCATAGTATATCTCTTTGCTAGGATATATTTCATTGTTCATATTGCTTATCCTAGTTCACATATCATGTTGTATTTCATACTTGCTAGGATAACTTGTTAATTAGTTTTATTGGCATTTAATTGGGATTAGATTAGCATAAGACCCTAATCACCCCCCCCCCCTCTAGGGTCCAACACCATCCTCCACCTCTTCATAATCCGCCAGATTAACCTTTCACTGCTGTGGGCACTCGTTGGACTTGTGCCCTGGTTGAGAGACATCAGAAACACTTCCCTGCAGTCAGCTTGGCATACTGATTTGATTGAGTCGTCTAGGGTGATGGTTGAGTTGTCGACCGCTCGGCTGATCGTGGAGGATTAGACCGATCAGTCATCCTTAGTCCTGCCGACTCACCTCTTGCCTTCTCGGCAACTTCCCTGATCAGTTCGCCTGAAAGGTGGTGTCTTGGAGACTAATCTTTCCGCCTTTAGAGCCATATTGTGGGCTTCGTCCACGGAGTATACATTGTGGATGGCCACCTTCTCTTGAATTGAGTACTTCGATATATTTGGCTGCGAGTTGTTCCTCGCTCATAGACAAATCACAACGAGAAGTAAGACGGAAGAACTCGTCGGTATAAGCACTTACTGATCTGATGCTTTGATGGCATTGCTCGAACTAGTTGTAAATGATCTGTTGGTAGTCGGGTGGTAGGAACCTAGCCTGGAGTAATTGCTTCATGCATCACCAAACCCGAACTGGTTGCTTACCTTGCCATCACCTAGTGTTTTGAGTCTGATCCCACCATGCCACGGCTCCTCCTTTGAGACGATATGCGACAAACTTCACTTGATTTGCTCTGGGTACATTAGCCATCTCAAATAACTTCTCCACTGCATAGAGCCAATCCAAGAAAGCTTCTATGTCCAGATTTCCTCCAAAGGAGGGGAGTTCCACCTTCATCCGGTACTCTTGGTCGTGGTGATGTCCGCCCTGTCGGTGATAGTTACGATGAGGGTTGAAGCCTCTTCCCCGACCTCTGCCATAAGGTTGCCCTCCTTCTTCTTCGCTCGAGATGTTGTTATACTATGGTCCCTTAAATTGGGCACCATAGTTTGCTCATTTGTCACTGGATTCATCATGTAAAGGGGGTTGGTTGGAATGTCGTCTATGATGTGGAGGGGGTTGATATGGAGGGGTTTGATATAGAGGAGGCTGATGTGGAGGGGTTTGATATGGAGGAGGCTGATGCAAAGGGGGCTGATATGGAGGGGTTTGGTTTGGACATGGTTGATATGGAGGGGGATGAACTGGAGGGGGTTGGGGATTGTACGGGGGTGGATGTTAGGGTAGCCTAACTCTGGGTTCGTTTAGGTGAAGACCGTCGGCGAATTTATTCCCATTGTTGAGGTTAAGGGTAAGTCCTTCAATGGCTTGTTGAAGGTTCTGAAGAGACGCCTCCAACGTGTCAAATCTTCCATCCATAGAATTCATCCTCGCAGAAAGATCCTGTAGAGAAAGTTCCTTCTCACTGTCACTTGCCATTGTCGAGGATGTTGAAGCCGAAGCTCTGATACCACTTGACGCAAACGTAGAAACAATGAGGCCGGTCGGATATCGTTTAGATGTCGACGAGCCCTGACAATATCATCAAGCTTTAAGTTTCTCAAAGTTGAGAACAAAAACAAGGAGAAAATTTCTCTTGATTGAATAATTAAAAAGTTAATTTTACAATTTACAAAAGGAGCTAATATTTATAGCCAACTAAATCTATCCTAACTCTAATAAAAAAGAAACTCTAAGTCTAAAAGGAAAATACAAAATCCCAAAAGGAAACAATCAAAAAAAGGAACTCTTTCCTAATCTGAAATCCGAGTCGACACGAGGCGTAGCGAGTAGTAACGCCTTTTGTGTCGACTGGACATGAGTCGACTAACATGTGTCGACTGGCTCACTTTGTGTCGACTGGGACGTGTCGACTGGCAGGTGTTAACTAACACCACCCTTCGTGTCGACTAGGGCATGTCATATCGTGCTGTCGACTGGGGTCTCAGCTTGTCGACTGGGGTCTCGGAGTCTCGGGTCCTTTTGAATAGGGTCTCGAAGTCTCGGGATCTCGTCTGGTTTGTTGTCGACTCGTCTGGTTCGAGTCGTCGAGGCTTGTTTTGTCTGGTTTGTTGTCGACTCGTCTGTTTCGAATCGTCGCGTCGTGTCTTGTAGATCTCCTGTATCATTACATGATCACAAACCTGGCTTCTTTTAAATTGTAGTAATGTTTAAGTTAGATAAACATGCTTATCTCAGCAATCAACTTTCGCTGGAAGAAGGAAACTGCACCTTTCTAGTTCTGATAAGTAATTGAATTTGTTCAGCATTGTCTTATATGGACCTATATCATTGAAGGCATTGTTGGATGAGCTTTGTCTCATAATAATACATGCACAAACTATCATTGTGATAAAACTGCCTTCATGGTTTCATAGAACAAGATAAACTCAAAAATTCTTTTGCTTAAGTTCGATAAGTTAGCGAGTAATCAGTTATCACTTCCAAAACTTCTGTAAACAAGTCTGATATTTACATAATTACAGGCATCTGGTTGTGCCAAGATGTGAAAACAGAACTGCAGGCTTTTCCGTCGAGATTAATTAGCTGTGTTAGTTTCTCCTGCGCGGAAAATGTGCACTTTTATGTACTCAGCTCCTCCGAAGAATTCAAATATGCATACATCACCCGAGGCCAAGTTGTTGCCTCTTGAGAAGTGGGACCATCCAACCCCCAATTCCACTAGCCCAGTTGTTCGAACACTGATGTCTGCGCTCCAAGATTTCCCTGAAGAATCGATTAGAATTGTTTCCTGATCTTTCACCAAGCCAAGTTCTTGTGCCAGTTTCTTTGGAATGTTCTGAAATTTATGTCATTATAAAGAAACCACTAAGAGAAAATTAAGCAAGATTTTTTTAGAATAATAGGTAGTGCAAATAGAACACTATTTAATTGAAGTACTTTCGATCATTCAATAAACTGGATAACTCTATTTTTTAGACTTCACGAAACCCCCTTAAGTTTGGTTTTTTTAAGATAAGCCCGCTTAATGTCTAAATATGTATCCCCTGGCGACTTAGAGGATTTTTCATAAAACCCCTGAACTTCTTCTATTCCACTAAACTTATTTAAGATTTTTCACTTTAATTCCCCTAAATAACGCCATGAAGGCTCATGTTTCACGTGCCAAGCATGTGATCGAAAAAGAAGAAAACACTCCTCATCACTCAAAAAATTACTCTTTTATTATTTTTATTATTTTCATTATGTTTTTAGGGGTGAATAAAAAATCTGCTTTCTTCAATCATGTGCTTACAACATGACCTACAAGTTAGATTTGAGGTGTTAATTGAGCGGATTAAAGTGAACAATCTTTGATGGGTTAGTAAAATAGAGCAAGTTTAGGGGGTAATGTGAAAAGTACCTCAAAATTAAGGGGACTTTCGTAGTTAAGGGGGTTGTCTCTTAAGGGGAGTTTTGTCAAATTTATTCAATTTTTTGAGTTCAAATGCAAAATGTGTTTTTTAACCTAGATAACAATGTGATTCATTATTAATTCCAGAATTTAGTATGACCAGAGCAAAGCTTCTAAACCATTTGCGAGGTTGAATTAGAAGTGGGTAAAGAACAGGTAACACACCACGCGATAAAAAAGAGACGGCCTCCAGACAATAACTAACGTTGGGTGTCTTGATTTAAAGGATTCGGCTTCTTTTGGAACCTTTTTCATGACATCTATACTCAGAAATCTTTCACCTGCATCAATGATACTAAAAAAGTCACCAATGTCAATTTATACAAAATAATAATAATAGAATAAAAGAATAGTCATTTTTTAAGGAAACAATGGAAGTAGCAGTTTCTTACTCTTAATATTATCTGAACCCATTGATTTTCTAGCATGTTGAACCTTTCTCATGTCATCTACGTTCAGAAATCTTTCACCTGCATCAATGATACTAAAAAGTCATTGATATAGGTAAAGAACGGCAATAAAATAAAAGAATGGTCTATTTTTAGAAAGAGATGAGACTATCAGTTTATGTTAGTGTGACTCAAATTCTAGGACTTAAAATACACTGAAACTCAAAATTCTTTGGTTGGATAGAGTTGGCGAGAGCTGTTGCATAAGGGACTTTAAAATTGGTTAGTTTGGTAATAGGGTATTCACTTCCTAATTGCTAGAGGATTATGACAAAGCGGATGGATAATATTTCATATTTGAATTTATTATCTAAGGGGGTGTTTGGCAACTTTGTAAAATTGGGCTAGGACTGAACCTGGCCCAATTTTGTATTGTTTCTTATTTTTCAAAATTCTACGCTAAACCTGGCCCTATTTTTTGTGCCCAAAAAGTGTTACTAAACTAGTTTTATTATGGACAAGGGGAGTCTGGTCCAAAACAAAACTAGCTTAGCACAAAACTGGGCCAAGACTGGTCCTGGCTCAGTTTTGCTCTGTTTGCCAAACTGACCCTAAGAGTTCTTGTCAATTAAGAACTCATTTATTACTCAAGTTGAAGAGGCATTAGGATTTTGTTTACGATGGCGGCAAGAATAGGTATTCAAGCCTATATCTACAGGGGTCATCCGAAAATTATCATCATCAATCTAAGCACCAAAGACAGAGAACATGGAGTTCTTTTTGTGAAACCTTTTTAGACATTCTAGGTCTCTTTTTGTTCCTATTGTTTACAAGAGATTTTTTAGGCTTTTGGGGTGGTTTAGGGATTGAGTTATTGAAAAATCTCTGCATTGTATTCCTCATAATTTACTAAAACTGTTCCCCTCCTTCCTTATGGACATAGGCTACAAGCTGAATCATGTATATCTGTGTATTTCATGTTCTAGATAGTTTTTGTGCTTTCATGTGATTGATATTAGTTTATTACTAGGGATTTGTCATAATAGTTTCTTAATATTATCTAGATTCTTTGATTTTCCGACATGCTGACAATTTGATGTTGCTAGGTGGGTTGGGTGGTTGCCTCTTGAAAAAACTGTGTGTAGATGAAGGGTTTCCTTATTGGACTAAGTAGATAAGGGGGTCTCTTGAAAAACTGGCCGTAGATGAAGGCGGTTTCTCATAATTACCCTGTAATGAAATCCATTTTTTTCCAATTAACATCTTCATATGTTTCTTTCTTGGATTGTCCTAGCAAAACTCCCCCTAAATTATAAGGACTTGAACTGATTCGCACATAGAAATTACAAGTCAATGAGGCATCAAAGTCACATGAAAGTTGGCAATCATCCAATTGGATGCATGACTACATTCAACTAAGAAGCTTAATAGGAAGTTAATAAGTTTTGGTATATAATAAATTCCAAGTAAATAGAACAAGAAAATGAGAAATATCTTGTGCATTCTTTATAATAAACGTTCAACCAATCCAATGCTAAAAAGGAAGTATATGTTTTCTTTGTTAGGATGTAGTCGTTACAAATATCTCTTGTTTGAGTAATGACAAACTCTCATTTGTTATTAATATTGGTTTGAGATGATATAGTATAGATAAAACATGTATAAGAAGTGTATGAGGCGATACAACACGAAAATCAGCTCAAAAGTTGATCTCAACCTTTCTACCATCAATGATATGCATTGATTATTGATGGTAAGAAGAGCTCATCGATGGTCAACATGCGTCATTGATGACTATTACTCCAACGACTTTTACATCATTGATGGGCCTCTCAACCATCATGAGGCCTTGACACCATTGATGGCAAACAAGCCGATTGCAGATCATTCAGATTTAATTTCAGTCATTCGTTGTTTATATATTCTATAACTTTTACCACGTTTGGGATTTCTCTTTCTTAATCTATTGGGGAGTTTATATCATTGAAAGTGATTGAAAAAAGGAGAGTTCTAGAGTTCTGATTTATAAGAGATCAAGTTAAAGAGTTTGACTCCTGGGGCCTTGTTAAACTCGTACTCGTTGCACACAATATTGTTAGATCGTTTCAGCGAGGAGAGCTACCCTTGGATTGATCTTTTTTCACTATTCTTCATCAATCTATGCTTATGCTTTTTGAAGCACAGTTTGTTTAACAAAAATGCAATAAGATCTTTCTTGAATTCTGAGCTTTAATTTTTTGTGTTGGTTTTGCTTTGAACTGCTTTGACGGCGTACTCAAGCCGATTGAATTAATTAAGGGTTGGGGCTAGATAGGGCTAAAAGTTACTCATCGTAGAAGCTAGGTTAGACAATTGGTTTTAAGTAGATTCTAAGGTGCGGTCTTGTAAGCCTACTGAATTGGGTTTGTGATTCAGGTGAATTCTTTGCATAGTGAGGAAGTCCATTTACGAGAAAGAAGAGTGGACGTAAGATTGTCATCTGAACCACTATAAAATTTTGTGTGATCTACGTGATTGATCTTGGTGTTTGATTATATTGCTTTATATCATTTATCGCTTTAATTTTACATATTCTGCTGCATACTTTGTGCTTTTAGC